TCATCAATTCCAATACAATTAATATTATAAAATTTATATATTTACCCCCTACATATTTATTACCTATAATCATGCTATAAAAGACTATACCCAAAACGTTTTTATCGGGGTGGTTTCCAGAAACATTCTAGAAACGTTTTTTTTCATAGTTTCTAGAATTTTTAATTTGGTAAAAATATAACTGGTATATGTATAAATTACAAAGAAGCAAAACCTAGTTTTTTTTTTAAATGTGCGCAAGATGAAACAACAACAATATGTTAAACAAAGGTTTGGACAATATTTTCTATTAATTCTAACACTGCTTTGACAATATCTATCAAATATAATTAGGGAGTTTTCTCTCTATCTAGAGTGTCCAGATAGGCAAAAATATTTTCTAAAACATTTAAGTTTTAAAATAGTCATTTACTACACACTAAATCATAGTTATTGTTTTCTATACATAAAAAAAAAGTAGATAAAAAAACGTGAAAGACTAAATAGAAATAATAAAAATAAAAATTAATAAATACAAAACTATACATGATTTTATTAGTCATGATAATACGAATTTTTTTTACCAAAAATATATATTACACATATAAAAAAAACTAAAAAATGTGTTTATGAATTTTATAATTGAAACAATTAGTAAAAATTAACTGACGTAGTAAAATGTTAAGAAAAAACAAATATTTTATATATTAGTTTTAAAAGTTATATATATTTCAAGGTTTTTTCTTATTAAAAAGTTTGTAGTTCAATTAAAAAAAAAATATGAAAATTTCAGTGGAAAATAGATTATTAACATCATATGACTTTATAAACACATGATTTTTGTATTTAAACTACATAAGAACAATTAATTTGCACATACAATTAAAATGATATATCGGTAATCAACTCTAATTTACCAATAAACTCATTCTCTAATTCTACAACTATTTTCCACACATTATTATCACATACACTATTTATAATTTTTTTTTTGTTTTTGCTAAAAGGCTTGCTATTTAAATTGCAGAAAGAAATTACAAATGTTTGTAGAGCTTTATAAGACCCCATTACATTCTTAGTCCACGAGACCAAATTAAAAGAACCTAATATAACAAGATTAGTAGTTGGATGGTAATTGGGCTAGACAAATTAAATGGTATAGTTATGGGACTAACCAGAACCAAAAACGAGACCCAACAATTGTTGTTGTAGTGTCCTTTGATGATCTTCAGGATCAGACGATCAATTTAGGATTTAAAAAAAACTAGGTAGTTTAGATACAATGGTAAGCTAGAAAGAGCAGTTCAATAGCAAAACAGCCTTGGTCTCCTCTCTCTTTCTCAATCTATTCACTATATTCCGGACAAGGATATCAATATCCTTCAAGATAGAAGAAGCCGATCTAAAGACATTCCAATACAGGCAATTGTTTCTCTTGGTCCAAAGGAAATAAATAGATATTTGCCAACAAAATAGCAGCAATATTTTTTTGGGAACTTTGCAAAAACAACTTTGGAAAGTTGATTTTTGATCAATTGATGCTCTTCTTTGAATATTACTCAAACAACCTTGAATGATTTATTATACCCGTTTTAGCCTTATTTCTTTTGAAGACAAAAAACATATTTACGAAACTGCTATTAATGAGACAGCAAAATTTTCCCGCCAAAAGCGAATAAGTCTACCGTTCATGTGATGGAAGATTTATTTGTGATTGGTAGATTTATTAAGTGGTTGGTAGACTTATTGATGATTCGCGAATGGTAGACTTATTTGTAGTAGTGTTAGATTTATAATATGTTGTAGACTTATTTCTAGTAGTGGTAGAGTTAATTTTGTGATCGGTAGACTTATTTCTAGTGATGGTAGAGTTAATTTTGTGATCGGAAGATTTATTAATGGTTCGCGCAATCGTAGACTTATTTACAGTAGTGGTAGATTTATTTTTGAGTGATAGACTTATTAGTAGTTGTGGTAGAGTTATTTTGTGATCAGTAGACTTATTGATGGTTCACGCAATCGTAGACTTATTTATACTAGTGGTACAGTTATAATATGTAGTAGACTTATTTATTGTAGTGGTAGATTTATTCAATCATTTCACTTCTTTACTAAAACAACTTTCAGTTGGTAGACTTGTTTATAGTAGTGGTAGATTTTATTTATAGTAGTGGTAGATTTATAATATGTGGTAGACTTATTTATAGTTGTGACAGTGGTAGATTTATAATATGTGGTAGACTTATTTGTAGTAGTGGTAAATTTATAATATGTGGTAGACTTATTTATATTAGTGATAGATTTATTCATAGTAGTGGTAGATTTATTCAATAAAGGATAAAATCGTAATTTATCCTTCATCTTATACACAAGACCAAACTTCTCTCAAACCCTAACAATGGCCGCCAACCACTT